ACTTCGACTTTCTATCTCATAATTTCGACTATGGGAATATTTTTATTATCAAGTCTAACTTTAAATTATTATTCATTTTTTAATTTTTTTTAATTTTTTTATTCTGACGGATTCGCAGGCCACATAAAATGACGTGGCGGGCCGGATCCGGCCCACGGGCCGTATGTTTGACACCCCTGATCTAATGGCTCCTCTAAAGATGGACTGAGCTTCACTGAACTAAGTACCACTTTACTCCATAGTTCAGTTCATTCCTTTAATTTAGGCTGAACAATTAAAGGAGTGTATGTGTGTGTGAGAGGGAGCACAAAGAGAACATTGCTTTGAGATAAAATACCCATGTGGGTATATTTCTAATTGATAATCAATGTAACTCAGTGTTTTTTTATTATTTCTTTCATGAAACAACAATCTAATACTTCTTCGGTAATCAATACATTTACCATAATAGTCAACGGTGTTCATGAGCTGCCTTTGTGACTAAGACTCATCCCTTGTGCTCCTATACACCTGAAGTACCCTCTACCTGTCTGAATACAGGTGTGCAACAATCACTTTTCCTTCCTTGTTCTGTCAAGGAGAAATTGCCTGGACATGCAGCCCCATGCTTCACGTTTGGTAAACTTACAAGAGCAACCTTGCAGCGATGGCCTTCTGCAGTTGGTTACTCATCTGATCCATTGTTTTGCCGGTGGCCTTTAAATGCCCTTTTACCCTCTCGTAAAAGCCTCCTCAGCTGCTGCTTTCCAGACGTTGTTTACATCATAATTCAGGTGCTCAGTTGTTCCGCAAGTGATATTTTACAAATTGTAAACTTGTGTCTGACCTTTGTTGTTGAACAATTACAGTGTGGGATGTTGTTCCATGTCGGAACAAGTTTTTATTTAGCCTTGTTTCCTCTCTCTCCCTGTGTGCGAGGCTCTGGATTTGCCGAGCCTCCCTGATGTTTGTGATAGCGTCCATAATAGCTTCACACAGAACTCCCCCTACTATCTCTCTGGCTGTAGCAGAGCTGATATCACCACAACAATTAATTTCTCCGGCTTAGGGGTGATGAAAGCTCATGTTAAAAACTGTCTTTCTGGCTTTTTTTAAAAAAAAAGCTAATTTAACATGTTCATCATTTTGATGAGCATATTCTTACGTAAATACGAAGTCTATAGATGTGTCACTGGAGGGTGGGTGGACGAGAGGGAATGGGATGGAGGTAGAGTTGATTGAATGGGTTGTGAGGGGTTGACAGAAAAATAGACGATGGATATATTAATTAATGTATACAATAAACGATTGTCGGGGAGAAAGATGACATGGATGAAATAGGAATGGATGGATATATGACAGTGGTAAAGGAAGGAGTGGTGAAAGATCAGTGAGCTGAAGAGTCAATACATACTTAGTGATTATTATTACATAGTTACTCATTTTTCAATTGTTGTTAATGCATTACAGTGAAAGCATATGCCGATTTGTGAATATTATTGGATTTCTTTCTATTTATTAAAAGATCCTAATGTCAGCCTTGCTTGGCTCCAATACCTGCAAAGTCTGTCTATATCAGATCAGTGGATATACTCATGAGTAAGCTACCACTTGTAAGTAAAGCCAGTAGTCTGTGTTCATGGTCATCGTCATGTGGTAACTCTTTCCAGCCTGAGCAGCCAGTCACATGCAAAGAGTGGTGCTCAGGTAATGTGGTTGAACCAGAGAGAAATGCAGCGCTAATGAACTCGTACGTTTATTTTGAAGTTGCGTTAAAAGACATTTTCTGTATTCACTCAACATCTAACTGTAATTTGTGGAGAAAAATACCTTAAGATCTGGTTCTTTCGCTCATTTAGGCTACTTTGTGAAATGATTTACCTTTTCCCACTTGCCAGTGTATACTAGGTTGGGTAATGCCTCCTGGCTGATCTTGTTAAAGCTGCAAATGAAAGCTGTTCAGAGTAGAATCGGCATTTGATTCTCAGTGGGGTTGGTAGGAATAGTAATTTACTAGATGGTTCCTGTTGTCTGTTTTTAGTCAGATTTAATTTTGTGTATGTGAAATTGTAAAACCCTTGAAGACATAATGAGAAAATTGTCTCACATAATAAGTGCATTACTTTAAGGTGCAATGTGTAAGATTTAAAACATACTACAATTTAACTAACATTGTGAAGAGATGTGAAGAGGGTTTGAGTGTTAGACGACTATGTATTGTGTTACAGAGATATCTACTGAAATGAGCACTTTAACTGACTAGCAATGGCCCGTCCAGTCTTGTAATACCAATTGTACCATGAAAGGCAATAGTGAGTAACTGCAGCATCCAGCCGGCCCAAGTCCAACATGAGAGGACGAAGAAGTAGAGCTGCTTCGATGGCTTGTCAATAATACATCCGCGAGTTAAATCCAAAGTGGCAGAAATGAGAAAACGACTCACGCTTCGCCTTGTCCTCCTTGCCACCAGGAGGCTGCTTGCTGGGAGTAGAGTGTGCGGTAGCTCCAAGAAAGGGACCCCCAGTTAGCAGTGAGCAGCTCAAACTCAGCTCCAGGGGTCTGATCCTGGGGGACTGCCCCTACTCCCCGCTGGACCAGCAAACCTTCTGTTGCTGCAGTTGCACAGGCTAGACTTAGTGCTCCACCAGCCCAATGTGACTCCCGTAGCCGGGGTTTGTGCTGGCTGAGTTACAGTTTCTGGGCTCTACTGTAGATTGGTCGGATTTTGCATTTTCTTGCCTGTTAGTTTGTAGTTTGCTTTTTTTAATGTAACTGATTACTGTATATTTAGAATGTATGGACCCAGTAGTAGAGATGAAATGCTGCCCTTATCTCTTCGGAGCTGGTGGCTAGGCATTACACATTGCACCTTTTAATAGTTGTATTTGAAGCAGGCAGACTGACACTGTAAAGCTCTGACACTGACATTGAATCATGTACCTTCTCCCCATAAAAGTTTTACTCTCTGGAGATGTTGGTGTTAGTATATAAGCCTGAACTGTACACTTAATATATCACATGAATGTATTAGAATAAAACATGATGCACCAACTCTCTCATAGCCAAAGCATTTGTCTATGGAAGCAGGCTCCTTGGTTGTCCTGCTGGAAATTTGTTTCCGTTTAGCTGAAAACTATATGACCAGAAGAACATGCACAAACCCGAAAGCCATACGTAGTTCCACCACAAACTCAATCTTCTTTCTCTGTCTAGCTACCTCTCTCACACACACAGACTTACACACATTCACACAAACAAGCACACGCACTCCCAGCAGAGGGTGGAAAGGGAGTGAGTTGGATTAGTTTGTACACCAGTGAAAATTGGCCAAACAGTCCCAATTATGGGATAACTTGGGCTAACCTAATACACCACTGCAATTACCTGGCATCAGCCCTTTCACATATACACACACACACAGGCACGAGCAAACAAACACAGGCACACACAAATGCACACCTGCTGTGACAACAGAAGGTGCTGATCTAATACGGTTGTTCACTTAGAGAGAGGGGAAGAGCGATTGGTCCTCCTCTGTCTTCGAATCCTTTTGTCCTGTTCTCTCTGCTATTTGTTTTCTGTCATCCTCCTGATCCAAACACCGCAATCTTCGGTTTCTCCTAACTGTAGTCTCTCTCGTCTCTTAACCTCTCTCATCCTCACTCCTTTCCACTGTCCAAGCAGCACGTTTCTCTTTTAAAACAACTGTTCTGGTGTCCAATATATTCCCTCTTCTCCTTACATCTCTCACAAACTCATTTTTCTGTGACCCTCCAAGTTTCCATTCCTTAGTATACAGAAAGAAGGCTTGACTGAAGAGTATCCTTGTGACGCATGCTTTCATGTATGCATGCAGCTTTTTATTACATGCGAGTAAAATGTAAGCAGCTCGAATCTATTTAATGATTCTATGCCATGTTTACAAATCTACCCTCTCAATAAACTATAAGATGCACAAATCAAAAAGGTTTACATCGAGCGAGGTACTAACACTAGTGAGTTAGTTGCACCTCAAAGGGAACCTGGATTACCCACTTCTGTCTCATTGGCATCCACATTTATATGTAATGTCTCTGAATCAATGGGCTGCTCAACTCTGGATACTAATTCATGTAGGTCAGAGTTAAGTTCTCCATCAAAGCAAAGTTAAGTCAACTTTATGTTACGTTTACGGCATTTAGGGTACACTAAAATATAATAGTTGGTTTTATTTTCTTTACATTTGACTTAAATCTTGACAGACATCCGAGTTAACCGCACAGTGAAGCACTTACTGATACAACTCTTTCTGCATCTTCCTTATCTTCTTCTCCCCCTCTTTTTCTGTTTCCTCTCTTCCCCCTCTTTGTATTTGCGTGCATACCTGCATGTACCTGTGAGTATGTGTGTGTGTTTATATGTGTGCACATGCGTGTGTATCTCCTTAGTTGTAGTAGCAGTCTTCTAATTGCATAGCACTGTGTTGGACAGTTGGGGGAAGTGCTAGTGACAGTCTATTAAGGCAGGATATCCCTGTTGCCATTAGCAGCAGATTGCCCTGTGATTCTGTGGTCTCCACATTCACCCAGCATTCACAGGGGCCCACAGATACTACACAAATAATTTACAATAAAATGGTCACTCACAACAATATAATATAAATCAGTGATTTATTTATTTTTATGTTTTTTGCATTTTAAGTTGCTGGTAGTTGCAACTAGTAGTTGCTACTAGTCTCCAGTATTCTCACACTGGTTCACTGCTCTAGGTTAAATTGCTAATACATACATATATATAGTGCTGTAAAGTATGGCCTTTGCATTCAGCCAGTTTTTACACATATTAACACCATTTACAGGGTTCCTCCCTCTAGGTCAATGGGTTCTATGAGTAAAATATACTATTGTGTATGTATTCTATAGTCTGCAGATTGTCATACATGTTAGAATATGGTAGAAGCATATTCACTATGTTCAACAAATACAAGAGCTCCTTATGGTGCTATATACAGTATGGCATGTTTTCTCCATGATGCAGGTGGGTGATAGTTTGTGTTTTGGTTTCATTTGTTCCCTGTTTTGTGTATTTGGCAGCTGGTTAAAACATAAAAATGTGTTGCTGTCCAAATCTTCCCTTTCTGTTTTATTTTTTGGGAAATTAATTAAATCACCAACAAATGTCTTTCTATGTCGTCAAAAAGGATTTTACTACCTTAGAAAGAGAAGCCCTGAATTTGGATGCAGTTTTTTATTGCGTTGGGATCGTGTTAATTACATTAATAAATGGTCACCACAGAAATCCATCTGTTATCCACACCTTTTACGTTCTGAAAAATATCAGAAATCTGTTGTGTTTTATAGTTGTATATTTTTGTGTGAATGTCCATGTGTGTGTTTAGGCGGTGGCAGTGACAGTCCAGGGAGTCCCAGAGGGCGTGCAGCCTCCAGTGGTAACAGCTTTAAGCCCTTTCTCCCTCCATGTGAGCTGGTCTGAACCGACTCGTCCCAATGGAAACATTCAACAGTACCACCTGAACCAGACTGGTGTAGGAACCGTATTTACACACATCGATCAGCCCACAAATTACACTGTGACCGGTAAGATTCTCGTAGATTATCAAATGCCTCACTTTTCCTTTACTTTTCCTCTGTTCCTCAACACTCTCTCATTTTACTTTCTCGCCCTCTCTCCTGTCTCCTGTTTTCTTACCTCCTGACCTCAAACTCCAGATATTCTTCACTGCACTCCTTGCCTTTGTCATCTCTCTCTCTCTCTCCTCCCCTTTGTCTTTTTTCTTCTTTGTCATGTAAATATGTATGTATGCTGGTTTCTGGAAGCCATCTAAGGACTGAATTTACACCTGATTCCCACCACACTCTATCTGGCCCAGTCCCTTACACTGACACAAACACAGTCGCATGAACACACACAACAAGCGCATAAGCACACTCAAACATAGTAGTTGTGCGCACAAGCTCCATCTCACATAAAAACACACAAAACAAAAACTCAAAAATCAGTACAAAACAGCACAACAAAAGTTGTCACAGTGCTCTTACAAAACACTCAAAATACAGTGTGTAAGTGTTGGCTTGTTTTAATATTGTAGATATGTACACAAACATGGTGGTGTCAGGACTGTCTGATTTGTGGGTTTTATCAACCCTGTGTGTTGCTGGTCTGCTGCCATCAGTCACTACACACACACACACACACTTACACATGCAGACACACACAACTGCATGACGCATTGCAAAGCAAACGTGTGTTGTCTTTATAAAAACATTTTGGAGACACAACAGAGAAATGCAAATACAATATAATCATAAGATATGCTTACATACCTCTGGAATTTAAATAATTAAACTAACTTCAAATTTAAACATTTAAAGTGTTTAGAAGTTGATTTAATTTTTACATATTAAATGTTCACGTGTAATGTTCACGAGTCGAGTGACTGAATTTCAGTGGCATTTTCCCTTCACAGCTCTGCTCTCTGCTCTGTCTTGGACTCAGACCAGGCATCGGCTTTGCCAGTAGCCAATAGACTATTCCCATGGTGCTTGTGGTTGGCTTGTATGGTCAGGAGTTGTGTGCGCACAAGCATGTGTGTTTGTATGTGTAGGCATGAGGCAAAGCAAACAATGCCAAATAGAGATGGTAATGTGCTGTAATACTGTACCAGCCCCATGTGCCAGTGTAAGCAACCAGCATGCGTGTGTGAAATTCCCCTGTTCCCCAGTGAGACACTGGAAAACCCTGCGTATTCAGCCAAAACCACTACTGGGGGAGTTCCTCTCCCCCTCTTTATCTTTCTCTCTCTCTCTCTCTCGCTTGCGCGCTCTCTCTTTCACCCGCTCTTGTCTCTCCACATTGCAACTGTCTTTCTAACAACACATGTATTCATCAGTAATAGGTTCCTGTGTCTTAATGAATTGCAATGCTGTGTTTTACAATAACAAAAGTTTAAAAACATTTTATTGCCAGATTGATCCCAAACCAGTTCTGCATATCCGCTCAGAACAACCCTACTGTATATAAATTATTAAAGGCTTTGTTTTTTATTCACCTTCTTATCTGCTCTTTTTTCCTAATTCAGTTTGATTCGATAGAATAAATATACATTAATAATATTAAACTCACTTTCAACATGAACTGAACATTAGTGATATTGTGTTTTACGTCAAAATAATTGAGTTTGTTTAACGCTCATTTCTATGCAGACGTGCACATGCAGTGAAAATACAGACTCGAGTGTTCATCTTCATACTGTGTGTATGTGCTGGTTTTGTATTGAGAAACTGCTGTTAAATCATAGCTCTTGATGCAGTTTCATACTAACATGGGCACCTGCAGGTTGAACAAAAACAATACAGTAAAAAGTCAAACAGAGAGGTAGCGGTTGAGCCAGGGAGTGAAAGGTGCACAGAATGACCCTTTGTGAAATGGAGTGAAGGAGTGGGACAGATGAAAAGATGGATGGATGTATCTAAGTGTTTTCAGTGAAATATGAACAGAAATAATTGCTGTGCTACTCCCTCATCCTTAATGTTTAATACGCCATCATTCATCCTCTCCGCATCTCTCCGACGATTCTCACCGCTGTCAGAGACAGACGCTCAAAGAGCTCGCTCCCTCTCTCAAACCACAGAAACTGGAGAAATATTCTTTTTTTTTAGCTACAGAAATGTCGATTTTAAATTGAATCACTCTTGAAGTGTTGTAACTTATTTGATCTGATAAATATCTGATGGAGTATTTTCTATCAAAATCACTTTGGTCCCTGAGGCATTCATTTATTAAGAAAGGTTCATATAGATTACCTGTTGTAACAATGACTATTGTTTTATATTATGAAGCAATAGAAACACATGAGTACGTGGTGCTTTACGATAAAGATATAAAAAATACAGTGCCATGTACAACAATTACAAATTTTCAACAACAAAAATGATCTTTTAGACATTTGTTGTCTGCTTCACTCCAGAAAAAAAGTTTTACATCTCAAAAGCAATGGCACAAAAACCTCCTCTAACACAGCCTGTTATGAATGGTATTTAGTAGGGAAGAGGAGCTTCTATAAGCGCTGTAATCAATGTTAATGTTCCAAATAGTGTTGCTTGTAACTGGTTTGCATGGTTTGAATTAAAAATAAGCAGCTGCCTCTATGATGCCAGAAACTAAAATTGTAAAAACAAATGTGTGGCTTCTACTGTTTCCTGTTTATCAATGTTTTGCCTTAGGAAAAGCAAGAAATAGACTCTTATTAATAGCATTTTTAGCAGTTCTGAAAGTGGACACTTCATAGAAAGAATTAAGCACAACTGTACAAAGACACCCCATGTGAATCGATATTAAGTATTGCTATCATTAGCGCACAATGAATTATTGCCTGCAATTATATAGATTATGGCATTAATCATGTGTTTAATTGGTCGTTTGTGGGCTCATTATTAATTCAGAACAGCAGGGAATAGAGTATGTTCTTTTATTTATTAATGCGTTTCCCCCTTGCTCTGATTGGTCCGTGCTGTAGGTACAGGAATGTAGGCATGGGAAAAGGTTGACCGAAGAGAACTTTCCTTTTCATGTATCAATCCTGAATCTGTCTTTCATGAGAAGTGTCAACGTAACAATATGTGCAATGAGTCTTTCATCTAACTAGTTAACAAACACACCCTTTAACTTCATGACTTGTGCTTCTAACTTGGTGGGACTCAATGGGACGGCAGTAAAGAGTGATGTTTTCTGAGATAGATGTTAGTCTTAGGTGAGCGTTAACACAGTCAATATTTACTTCAAGCTAAGTTAATATATATGCAGCTCTATGTATTGGTTAAAAACTGGGAATGGGAGTGATGCATTCATGAATTACCTTTTTTCTTTTCAGTTAAAAAATGTAAGCTTTTCTATATTAACACAACAGTAAGCGAGCAAAGTAAGACCTTTGCAACACAATTAAAAGATGTTAGTGTAACAAAAAAAATTAGAGTTTTCCCAATAGACACATTTTTATCTCTCAACTTCCCGGCCTTGTCATCCATACTGAGATTTGGGAATGTGTGTGTGCAAGTTAAGTCTGTATGTGTGTTTCTCCAGTTGTGCACATGCACTCGTGTTTGTGAACATTGTGCATATTTTGCGTACATTTACTGTATTATAAGTTTCACCTGCATGTATAGATTTGCTGGCTTAGGGGATCTCTGTGTGTGTGAGTCTCTGTATGTGTGAGGGTGTAAGTGCGTGCGTGTGTGTGTGGGTGTGCGTGCTTGTGTGTGTGAACCTGATCTCATTGTTCCATCCCAGACGATCGCTGCATTAAGGAGCCTCAGACAGGAAGTCAAACTCTTAATTATTTAGGAGAGGTGTTATCAAAGCTCTCCTTTCCCTCTTCCCCCCCCCCCCCCTCTCTCTCTCTCTTATTTTTTTGTTGTTTTTTTTTTGCTTGTTCTTGATGCATCATCTGTTCTTTCTGTTTGTCATGCAAATAAAGCAGATTTAGTTCTTCATACTATTTGTTACTTTCTTTCTATTTTCCATTTCAGCCTTTCGTGTCTTTCTCAGCTGTCACATCTCACATTTCTTTCTCCTCATATTTTCCGACCTGGTTTTCGCATCTTCTTTCCATCTTCTCTTTCAATTCACCATCTCTCTCTTTCTCTCTCTCTCGCTCTCTCTCTCATGGTATTGCGGCCTGTGCCAATCATCCTATCATATTCTTTAATGTAAACAGGGAACGGCAACCTGTCAATAAAAGGCCGTTTTAAATCAGTTACTTTTACTGCAACAGACACACACACACTTCCACAACAACAGTCTCACAATCCTTGTTCTCTTTCTCACAAGCAGTCTTTCTCTCTTTTACTTTTTTAATTGAATGTAAGCTTCAACTCTTTACTCTGTCTTACTGCCAAAGTCACTCTCTGTGTCTCTCTCTGTCTTTCACAAACACACGTACACATGCACACACACACACACACACACACCTATCTCCACTGTGTCCAGCTCTCACTACGACAGTTACCGCCTTGTCTCACTCTGAGTTAGTGAGTCACAGGCTGCTCACATCAAAACGCCCTCCACCTGTTTTTCACTTCCCGGTGATCACTGTAGAAATGATTGAAGCTTCCTCTGTCTTTTCCATAATCAAGCACATAAGCACATGTGTGTATGCACTGGTAGGCGCACATACAGTGCAGGTAAACACAGACACACACGCACATCTCTTTCTATTGCACACGCACACACACGCACACACACACACACACACACACACACACACACACAATGGTAGACATGGTGTAATTTCTTCAGCAGACCAACACTGCCCTCTTCAGGCTGACTGTCAAAGGTAAATTTAAACGCACCAAGAAACATCAAAGGTGTTTGTGTGTGTTTGCATCCATCTGCACATGCACATTGAATGCGTAGTATGATTGTGTTTGTTTTGGTTTTGTATTTGAAGTATCATGAGACAGAGCGGTTGGAGAATGAGAGGATCTTAGTTTTTTGGCCTTGTAGTTATTTTAGTTTCTGACTGTTCGCTCCTTTCATAAAGGGCAGAACGGATAAATCTACTTTTACAGGCATGTTCTTTGCTTCCTGACCTGAATTTAGTAATTAATAGGCATGGGCAACACTTTAAAGCATTTTTAATATTATGTTTATGCACACAGATTCAACGTACTGTTCTAATTCTCACTACCTGTGAAGTCATTGTCACACGTCCTCCTTGCCCCGTAAAGTTGTCTACTTGGGTTCTGTGTCGAATATCATAATGCCGTTGTCTGTCAAATTTTCGGCCCCGTTCTGACTCCCGTAGTGTCATTCTATCTGTCCGTGTGTAAGAAAATGCAGTGCAGGGTTACTGCTTTATTCAGTGTTGCAATAAATGACATCACTTGCAGTGTAGATATCATTTACTATGCTGGAATGCACACACGCATATAAACACGCTTAGTTGCACAGTTAAATAGTGTAACAGAGCCTTACGCTTCAACCCTAGTACTTTTGTATGGCTGGCAGATTTCCTTTATTTAACCCAAACACAGGGCAACAATGTGAGAACATTTCCACACACACACACACACGCACGCACATTGATCAGAGGTTGTGTTAAGTGTGGCAGGCTGCGAGGCATGTTAAGCAGGCTAAGCAGTAGAAAGAGACGTGAGGAAACCGTGGTGAAGCACTCCGCTGTGCGCTAGATTGTGTGTGTGTGTGTGTCTGTCTGTGTGTGCGTGTGTGTGTGTGTGTTGGTGCACATGTTCTCTGCCGTATGTAGTCAACACAGGATGGATACCGATATGCATATATAGCAGCTGAGACACACAGTAGGGTGTCCCTCTCTGGCTGTCAGCGACCAAATATACTCAGCTGGAAGCATCAATAGATCATTTAGATTATTGGGGGACTTTTATTTAAAAAAATATTACTTTACACATAGTAAAATGGAGATTGTTTTTGTTTTACTATATTAGTGGTGTGATAATTGATATGTAATATTTGTGACATGAAATGATATCTTACATATAGTGGTTAAGAGTCCCGTACTGTTTATTTGCTCTGCTATACTAAACATAGAAGGAGAGCCCTTAAATAGCAGAAATTTCACTTTCATGTTTAGAAATAAAAAATGAAGTCTCTCTGTTGAACAGGATTATTATATGTATGTTATTATAAAACATTAAAGTAAGCATGACTTTTTCTCAATATTAAAACATATCTATGTAAGCTTTCAAAAATCATTAATGTAGTAAAATATGTATTAGTTCACTTAAGATAGTGCGGATTTAAATTACGAATTCAACACACTATATCATGCAATGCCTGTTTTTGCATTCATCCTTTTGAAATAGAGTCGTTTTGGTTCTTTCATTTCCCCTTCAATGTGATTTGTAAGCTGTTGTATGCTGTCAGCTAAGTGAATGACCATAAAACATCCCGTCAACCCCCATGACAACATTAAGGATTTGCATCCATCCATTAATCCCCAGCCATCCACCGTATATCAAGAACCGGGCAGAAAATATATCCCAAGGAGACAAAGGTTTTCAATCACCAGAAAGTGCTTTCAACTCAAGGATAACTTTGTTCAGGTTCATGTGGAATATTTTAGCAACTTCCAGTATTTAAATCATCCAATAAAAGGTTCAATATAACACCAAAAACAGATTTTCTGTGGTTGCAGTTAAAGGACCGCTATGTGATTTCTTTTAGACTGCGTAGCGGGTGCCTATAAATAAATCATGTCTGGACGCTGTAGCCTAAACGCATACCGAGGTATCATAATTATCATAGATCAAAAGCTGATGACATTACAGCGTTGGACCGGTCCTATCCCATGTCAGTTCCGCGGCTCCCCATCTTTACGTTGTTTCATTATTGAGTTATGGCATGCATAATTTAACACCGACAGATATGGATCCATCCGTTGAGAGAGTGTGGAAAGAACAGAGGGAGGGAGAGTGAAATGGATAGAGAGGGAGAGAGAAAACGGCTCGGAAGAGAGCTTGTGATACGGGCTGAGAAAGCTTTCCTCTCTCTTTTACTTTTTTTGCCAAGTTTTCATTTTGTCGTTTGTCTTCCCTCTTTTTCCCCTTATACAGTTTTGAAAAACTCATCTGGAGTTTATTGTAAAAAAATTAATTAAAAAAAATCTGGTAAATTTTTACCATAATTCCAATCCTTCGTGTGCTTCTAAGTGTAAGATTCATCTTTTGTAATCTTTGATTTATCATAAATGTCTACACGTCTGTGTGCTACAGGTTTGCAGCCGTACACAGAGTATAGTTATGTGCTGGTGGCCTGCACAGCTGTTGGATGTGGAGCCAGCTTACCTTCCACAGGACGCACGATGCAAGCCTCCCCTGCTGGTACACACACACACACACACACACACTAATGAATTCCTGGAGATCCTGTTAAACCTTTAAACCTTCAATGAAAATTTTAGGAAATTCGCTGTTTGACTTTTATGTGGTGACATTTATGTACAAATGAAGTTGTGAATGCGATTCCACAGGTCTTAAACATGTTTTGTACCTGTCAGATGTAAGATCCAGAATAATGTACAAAGGATTTGTGTATATATTTTTGCTTTTTGTTGACATACTGGCAAGAATATGTTACATTGTTCTAAATGTATATGGGATTATTATTATTAAGGCTTGTTTTAATTGAACCATATGATAACTTTTAAGATATTTTCATTTTGATAAATACTGAAATTCAACAATATCTCTTGCATTTTGTGAATACTTTCTACAACATGTACCTTTGTCTAAGTCCTCCTGACTTCATCTTTCAGTTTTTCTTTTCTCATTTTGCTCTCCGCTCCTCTAACTTCTCTTTTCTCCTCCCACTGCTTTCCTTTTGAGAATCCTCCCCCTCACTCACCCTTCTTTGGTCTCCCTATACCACATCTCTCTACCCTTAACCTCTCCCTCTCTCTCTCTCTCTCTCATCGTTAACTGCAGTGGAACGAAGCCTCATTTTGTAGACTGGCTAAAATGCTGTCATGCATTTTTATTTATTAAAGAACTTCAATCAGAAGGATTTTATCCTCTCTTCATGCACTTCTCATTTTTTCATGTTCTTTCTTGTCTCTTCCGCTCCACCACCTCTCCTCTCTTGTCTCCCTTGATGTTTTCCTTCCACATCTGTTTTCTTTTTTTCCCGTCTTCTTTGACATCTTGTTTCTCCTTCCATTGAAACATATTGCCTATTCTCTCCTCCAAGGTTTCAATATTTTTGCTATTTCTTTTCCATCTAAATATCAAATTATTTCCTTTTGTGCAGCCTATCAACCCCTTGTTATCCACATTTTGTCTCTTTTTACTCCTCTTTTTTATTGTTTTATATAAATTAATTATACTTCTTTTTAAGCTCCTCCTCCCCACCACCCCCCACACTTTTCCTTGTCTTAATGACCGCTATATCGTTTCATATAATCTAAACTGCATTAAACTGTGTGATTAGAATGAACATATCTGACACATGTTTGCGTTTATATATAAGTTAACATTTAATTTGAGTTTAATGTTAATGAAGCCCTCCTCCTAGACAGATTTTTAGACCATTTGTATTCCGTTTGATTCAAAATAATTCAATGACACGTTAGAACCACATTACGTCTGCCTGACCTCTGTTCTTTTCTTCTAATTGTTTCATTATAATCTCAGGACAAAACTTTGCCGTCTTCTCCACCATTGTAATAATTCAGTCATGCCTCAAAAAATCTGTATTCTCATATAAATAACTATTCTCAGTTTCAAATAAACAAAACAGTGCTTCAAACTGTCCTCGGTTAATTAAAAACAAGCTTTTAGATTTGCTGTTGTTCATTTTGATAACCAAAGTTCTTTGAGTACATGAGGTGATGCACTTTACGTTCAATTTGTTTGAAATAAAGGAAAAGGACTACATTTCAATGATAGGTGCCAGTTAATGTGGGGAAACACTCACTTCCACGTCTTCTCTCCCTCTTTGCTGCTCAGGTGTATGGTCAAGCCCCAGACATCTGATAATAAACACATCTGCGGTGGCGCTGTACTGGGATCAGCCATTCCAGCCTAATGGACACATCTCCCAGTACAGACTGAACAGAGACGGTCACACTATTTTTACTGGAGATCACCGTGACCAGAATTATACTGACACTGGACTCCTGCCAAACCGCAGGTAGAGAGCGATCACTCGCACACTTCACACACACACATGAATGTAAACGTATTTGAGAGTGTGCACATATGCAGAGTCAGACATGCATAAACACACTTCACTTGTAGCTTCAGAATTAATCATCCCTTTAATTCCAATATTTTCCCATTTGAGTGTATGTGTTTATATTGGGGTCATGTTTTCTCTTTTATCCATGTCTCTCTCTCAGGACTGCACTCTGTATATGTCTGTTTGTGTCATTTAATGAGCAAATATTTGACATGCCCATGACAGATGCAAACATTACCGCACGCACACACATTAAAACACAAATCAGATTTGGCTTTTGCTTACAGACAGCAGTGGAGCGGAGATTTTATTTATCTGTTTATTTTCATTTAACCTTTATTAATCCATGTCTTTTTTCTGAGATGGATTTTCTGTTTTAATTATGAGAGTGTAAAATGATACCCCCCTTTCCCTCTCTCCTGTCTCCCCCTTTCTCTCCTTGGCCTTCTCTCTCCAGAGACCATTTCTCCTTTCCCCAAATAGAATACTTGGGATAACACCCTGCAGTACTCCAATCCCCTCTCTCTGTGTGTGAAAGAGAAAGGAAGGAAGAAGAAGATAGGACTGTATGTGTGTGTGACGTTTCATTTTCCCTAATTCCAGATAGTCTGCCAGAAGGCATTCCCGTCTCGACCCTTCGCTTCTCATCACTTGTCTCGCTTCCGATTCACTTTTCTTTCCTCTCACCCTCCCATCCTTTCCCTCTTACCTCATTCCTCTCCTCCTTCCCTTCTTTTCCCAATTTAGCCCTGCACCAAGAATTACACAGGGAGCACCGGCCCCATTATCCAGACAGTCTTGTGTGTGTTTTTGCCAGGCGCGTGTGTGTGTACCCACGCATGCCTGTCTGTGTGCGCATGTGTCTGTGCGTGAGACTGCTCAAAGTGGCCATTGATTATTTATGACAATGTTGATTAGCTGTCACTTTGCTTCGGCAGCCCAGGAAGTGTCTAAGATGACGAGAGAATTAACCTATTCCCTCTGGCTGGCCCCGCAGGACACACACACGCACACACACACATCCACATCCAAACAGATGCAAATGCCCCTCTCACCCATTACCTACCACACACACACACCATTTTATTTTTGATATCCCAAGGCGGTGTTTATATTTAAGTAAATATCTTCCAGTGATGAAGTGTTTAAATTCATTCTCCCACTGAAACCTTATGCCATGATAGAAGTCTCCCTCTCCATCACACTCTGCTTCGCTCTCTTCCTCTCAGGATTTATGTCTCTTTCTGTCTCTCCTCTCCACAGTTGGTGTGTCTCAGTGAGGTGTATTTATTTATGTTTTTCTGTGTGTGTGTGTGTGTGTGTGTGTGTGTGTGTGTGTGTGTGTGTGTGTGTGTGTGTGTGTGTGTGTGTGTGTCTATGAAAGTAACATATGAGTAGTTTTAATACCTTTACCTGACTGCGTTCTAACTCACTGCAGAGGTGCTAATGGCCTCCTGTTTAAAACGCTCTGCACAGGAACAATAACCCAACACCACCGCCTATTAATACATGTGTACTGGACTTTATAGCAAATTAAAGGCTTTTAATGTTAAATGGTGGCCCACTTAGACAGCTAATGTAGGCTTTAGCACCAGCCAGCCACACGCTCTTAAAAGGGAAATCTATCTTATATATGAGAGAGAGAGAGAGAGAGAGAGAGAGAGAGAGAGAGAGAGAGAGAG